ACTCGGCCGTGCGCGCTGCGCTCTGCTCCGTGGGTTTCGCGCCCCAGGCGCCGCTGGGAGGAGCGCGCACAGCTCGGGGAGGCCGGGCGCCCGGAGCCGCCGCGCTGGGGCTCCCGAGCTCCCGAGGGTCTCGTCCGAGGCGCAGGGGAGGCGGCTGGACCCGGCTCCGCCTTCGCGCGGGGCACCTGGAGGCCTCGGTACCAAAAGAGGCTGCGCCGGACGCCGAGCTCCCGGGGCGCCGCCGGGGCGGAGGATGAGGGCGCGGGGAGGCGGGGAGAGCCGGCTGCAGGGAACCCCCGCCTGCTTGGGGGACCCTCGGCGAAAGGGTGACGCAGTCTGAGAGGCCGGGCCCTCCGGGAGGACCATTCAAAACCGAATGCCTAATTCTGTCCTCTGCCTCTTGACTTTGCAGTTGGCGTCCTCCCACAGAGCAGGAACATGTTTATGAAAAAGAAGAATCTAACTTGCCAACCTCACTCTAAGGAGTGAAACGCACGGAACAGCGAGACTCCTCCTAAAAGCGTAGCTTGAAAGTCCCTCAGAAAGGAGCATCTTCGAGACGCTTCCTTCACGACTTTTCAAGGTACGCCCTAACATTTCTCAGCACCGACAGCGCGGGCGTGGTTGTCACCATTTTCACACCTTCCAAATCAGGGCTTCCTTGACCAGGAGAGGGCCTAAAATTCGGATTCTGTTGGTCTGGGCTGGGAATCCACATTCTAAAGTGGCCACCTCTGGGGCGCCTGGGTGGCTCAGTCGTTGGGCGTCTGCCTTCGGCTCAGGTCATGATCCCAGGGTCCTGGGATGGAGCCCCGCATCGGGCTCCCTGCTCCGCGGGAGGCCTGCTTCTCCCTTTCCCACTCCCCCTGCTTGTGTTCCTGCTCTCACTGTGTCTCTCTCTGTCAAATAAACAAAATCTTTAAAAAAAATAAAAAATAAAAATAAAGTGGCCACCTCTGGATTGGTTCCTTTTTCCCGCTCACCCCCTGTCCTGTTCATAACATTAACATCATTCAGTGAGGGAAGGAGGATTTGCATTTTTCGCGCGTGGTGTAATAAAGATCAGTATTGTAACTGGGGCACCCGTGACACTGTACAGTGTACAAGTCCCTTCCACCTTCACGTACTGGCCAACAGATATGTAGGGAGGGCCCACAGTGTGCCTGACCCTGCGTGAGGCTCCAATCTGTCCAAAAAAATGCTCAACCTTAAATAAGACAGATATTTAAGGAAGATGAACAAGTAATTGGTGCTAAAAGGAACAGATGCTTGTCCCCAAGACAATGAACTAGGACACAGACATCGAAAGACTACCTACTTTCTTTTTTAAGGTAAAAACTGGAATTTGAACCCACATCTGATTTACTACAGGTGTCATTTTTCAGCTCCTATAATTTTTGAAGTGTACTGAAAAGATATCTCCTCTCCTTGTTCTAAATGTCAACAAGGCTATTATTAGTGATTAATTCCTTTGTGAAATAAAACTTTGCTTTTAGGGGCTCCTGGGTGACTCAATCCGTTAAGTGTCAGACTTCTCATTTCAGTTCAGGTTATGATCTCAGGGTTGTGAGATTGAGCCCTGCCTTGGGCTCTGTGCTGAGCATGGAGCCTTCTTAAGATATTCTCTCTCTCTCTCTCTCTCTCTCTCTCTCTCTCTCGCTCTGCCCCTGCCCCACCCTCTCCCTTAAAAAAAAAACAAAACACAAAACTATGCTTTTAAAATAAAAATGCTCTGGGGCCCAGAGCTCTGAGCAGCAATAATCAGGCTTTAAAAGGTCCCCTCCAGCTCAGACATGTGAAGTCTCACTCCTTAGGTTACCAGAAGTCTTACTCCTTAGGTTATTGCTGAGAATGGAGGGGAGTGGCCAGGAGGCACCTACAGGAGCTACTGACAGACTCCCTCAGGAGCTGTGCCACTAATGTGTTTAGAATAGTCAGTTGACCATTACTGTCTAATCCTAACATTTTAAAATTTGACTTTTTTCAGATCTGTCTTGGCCTGTCCTAATTTGGGGAGATGGCATGCTCCAAAGGTTTGGTACCCCTGATTTAGAAAACTGTTTGGCATTTTCCTATACAGTTAAATATACAGCTCTCCTATGACAAAGAATTCCACCTCTAGATGTATATCCAAAAGAAATAAAACTTATCTCCACAAAAAGATTTGTACACAAATTTCACAGCAGCTTTAGTCACAATAGTTAAAGTTGGAAGCAACCCAAGCATCATCAACAGATGACTAGAAAAACAAACTGTGTCATAGTCACACAATGGAATGCTATTTAGCAATCAAAAGAATGAAATACTGATATACTCAATAATGTGGTTGCTGAGTGAAATAAGCCTTACACAAAAGAGTTTATGATTCCATTCATATGAAGCTCAAGAGGGGCAAAACTAATCTGGGGTAACAGTAAATACTGTGGTTGCCTTTGACAGGGCAGGAACACAAAGGAACTTCTGACCTCATGGGAATGGTCTATATCTTGATGACGATGGTGGTCACATGAGTGTATATATTCATTAAATCTCACTAAACTGTACACTTAAAATCTGTGCATTTTCTTGCTTAATAGCAAATACTTCAAAATTTGCCCTAAAGAATAAGTAGGTTTAATAGAAGAAAGTTTAATAAAAGGACCACGTATAGAGATGTAGGTAGGGTTGAGAGAACCAATAAGAAATGGTAGAGGTCTTGGGACTGTCAACAGTAGGAAGCCATCACAACTCTGAGGACTGAAGGTAGGAGGGGAGGTTAGGTGTTACCAAAACTCAGCAAGAGCCATGGCCATGAAAGAGGTTGCCTGAAAGGAGCATCGTCCATACGTAGAGGAACAAAATTGCTGCCACTTATCTGGTAGGAAGGGAGTGGGGAAGAAATACCCCAAAATCTCTCTCCTTTGGCCCTTCAGATTCCTCATTATGCCTCCTATTGGCTGAACCATTTGATAGCTGCAGGGCAAAGGAGAACAGATGCCAGGGTCCTTAGAAGTCATCCTGTCATGGTGCAGAGTTGGTCAGAGAAGGGCAGAAAATGGAGCTGGAGAGACAGTTGGAAAACGACCACACAGTCCATCTATTCTTTTCTTTCATTTGGAGGAAGAGAATTCAAAACAAAACAGGGGAAACCCAAAGTCCTATCAGTTTTTGTATGTCGATTCAATGGTATTCTCATTTGGAGCTAAACTGTAATATTAACCACCATCAATGGTTATTTTCACATAAGTGCTGTTTCACATAAAAGGAAAAGGGGAGAAGTAAGTAATTAGAAAATATGGATGCTAGAGACACATTTCCATAACTGGTCATGAGGCCTTATTTGATAATCATGGCAATGCTCCCCCCTTCCATTCTCTGAGCATCTTGGCCTGCATGACTTTTTTTTTTTTTTAACTGGTGGGAGGGGCCCAAACTTTCATGCATACTAAGGATCTATCTTAATTAGTTTGCCATGGTTTCTCACTGACTGTTGTCATTGGACATGGGAGTTCTCTGGGATCTGGACATAATCATTCATGCCTTATTATGTAGCAACAACACAATTTTCCCTTGGTAATCAGGACCAATCACCAGCCCGTACAGTGACCTTCTCATCTGTCTGTTAGAGAGCAATCTTTGCTTCCAAGTTACTAGCACATGCCTGTGTGTTTACTGGTGAAAGTATGTCCTTTGCGCACCCAAACCTCTCAGTTCACTTATCTAAAGGTTGAGGGGATGGTATGCAGAACTTTGGTAGGCGGGTTATTATGTGTAATGGAAAGGAGGTCATTCCCACTTCCGCTCCTTGGTTTTTAGACAGTGTATTCTGTCTATGAGAGAAATGACACCATATATTGGCTGATAGTTTAAGACACATCTGTATCCTGGGTAAATGCCCTAACCTCTCAAGGTATTGTCACCAGCTAGTGACCTCACATTTTTATCAAGCCACCTGCTTCTGGATAAAGAGGCATATAGTAAAACTCAAGGGCACATCTACACTGTCCTACTGCCTTTGCTGCAAAATCAGTTTCTTGGTTCTAGATAATGTAATGCATGATTCTATGGCAAAGGATGAGGCATTCTAGGAGACCATGGTAGTCATGGTAGTAGAAGCAAAGTAGGCAAGGAAGACAATATCATATCTAGAATAAGGATCTGTTCCAATGAGAACAAATAACTGTGACTGGGAAAAAAGGATCCAATACAAACAACTTTTCCCCACTTAGCCAACAGGAGGGACCAGCTAGGGAATTATGCTGTATGGGGACTCACGGGACCTCTGCTCTTGGCACACAGGACAATCAGCAGTGGTGGTAATCAGATCAAATCTAAGAAGAGAAGAGATGTTTGTATTATTCCACTCCTGCATGGCCTCCATCTCTGCTACCATCATCTCTACATATATGGTTCCATTATAGAAGCACAGATGTGGTTGTAGAAAGAGGCACCTGATGACTAGAGAATGGGTCCAATTCTCCAAGGTGTCCACCTGATTATTAAGGGCATCCTCTGCACTGGATGCCTCTGGGGAGCATAGGCTACATATATTCACAGGCTTCTAATTCTAAGAGGTCCATACTGATATCCTTGTTATCAGTCTTCTAGTTTTAAATTTTTCAGATCTCTGACCAACTATTTTAGGCATTATCCATAGATCAGTGCAGATTCATGAGTAAGGCCATTAGTCATATTAACCAAAGTTCTACCCATTGGGAGAATTTTCTTCTGCTATTTTTTTTTTCATTGTGGTAAAAATATACTTAACACAAAATCTACCACTTTAATCATTGTTAAGGGTAATCTGTGACATTAAGTACATTCACATTGTTGTGCAACCATCACCCCCATCTGTCTCCAGAAATTTTTCAGCATCCCTAACTG